CTGATTTTTTTCTCCTCTATTCTTCCTTTAATGTTCCCTTTCTTTCAGGTTGTTGCTAAATGGGAAAAACTTAGCTTAGTACTGATAGATGACTTTATTGGAACTGGAAGTGAACAAGTACTGCTACTTTTTAAGGATTCCTTGAACTCAGATTGCCTGACTTCATTTAAAATAACAAATCTTGAAAACATAAACTATTCAGTAAGTTCTGTTTATTTATTATACGTTACTTTAAGAATCGTTTTAGAAAATTTAAGTGCTTAAAAGGTTTTGACCCATCATTTAAATATTCGTGATTTTATACTTTAACTTTTTGAACTTTAAAAATACGGAGATTGAATCTTTTAAATATATACATTGAATCTCCTTTCAACAAATGTTATACAAATTGACTATACTTTTGATATAAATTTGCAATATAGTATATCTGGTGGTCACTGAAGTGACAAATACTATGAATTAACTTTATTGTTGCTTCCAAAAATCACATTTTATGCCACTACACATGACAGTATTGGATTAAGGAATAAAACAAAGTGAAACTGCTTTATTAAAAGAAGTTAACAGTTCAAAATATCGTGAGATCTTAGGCATAAGGGAAATTATACCCCTGAAGTTTCAGATCTATACAAAAATCTCTCTGATCTTCAGTTTTTTCATTTATAAAATGAGGCTAATTCTTATTTCCTCTAGTTATGGGATTTTAGGATTTTATAAAAAGAGCTGATCCTTTATATAAGCAGTATACAAATGTTAAGTGGTAATAAGAATCTGTAATTTTTTTTCTAGTCACAAGAAATGATGGGGGAAAATATATAATTTGCCTTTAAAAGAACAGTGTATAACATGGAAAACTGCCCTTTGACTAGATATACTTCAATTGTATTTTGTTTTATGAATTTTCAAGTTCAAAATTTCAGTTTTAGGTTTTGTTTTAAATTTATTAGAGTGAACCATTGGATTGCAGCAAAGATGATTTATTTGAAGACAAACAAGAGAATTGTTACTCGGTGATTCTACCTCTGGAAAGAAGATTAAAAGTTAGTGTTTGCTTTTTGCTTTTGCTTTTTGATTAGTACTATTCTAAATGAAGTAAAGAACATTGAAAGAAAGGTCCTTAAAGTATAAGCAACTTAGTACTTGGGGAAACAGTAGTACTTCAAAGGGTCTTTACCTTTTTGGCACCTCTATAAAAAGCATTATGGCATTACTTATAAATGTATCATCTAAAAATGATACCCTTTTGTATCAAAAGTGTATAGATTTAATAAGCCTCATGAGAGAAAACATAAGAAGCTCACTTTTGAAAACACATTCTTTCTGGGATCAGTATGCCATGGTATCTCTTTTAGAGTGGCAGCAAATATGATAAATCATAACACATTCCAAAGATGAACAGTTTACCCTCAAGTTTTCCATAAGAAGCTCCCTAAGAGTTTTTGGTTTTTTCCAAATGTACCAAGGTAATGCACATTCCCTGTAAAATACTGAGATTATGCCAAGAAATATTAAAGGGAAACTAATGATTACCTGTGATTCTACTACTGAGGAATAATCAGTTTTAACACTTTGGCATGTATATTCTTGCAGATTTTTAAATGAATATATGCAAATTTACATGGAAATGTGATTATAAGATGCGTGTTCTTTTGTAAGCTGCCTTTTTTGTTTATAAAAATTTCCAAATACGCAGAAAATTCCAAGAATGTAGTGATTGTGTCTGTGTTCCCACATAGATTAAACTATTGTTACTTTAAAAAATCATATTGACCTCATCCGTTGTATCTGTGTGTGTCTGTGTGTGTGTGTATGTGCATTTTTGCAGAACCATTTGAAAGTTGCATGTGTTATAATACTTCTATGTATTTCTGCAGCAATCTCCTAAAAATAAGGATATTCTTCTATGTAACCACAATGCCATTATCACACTTAGAAAATTAATAATGATCCCCTGATCTTCTTTACTATCTAGTCCATATGCAAGTGTATTTAGTTGTCACAAAAATGTTTTGGGGGCCAGGCATGGTAGCTCATATGTGTAATCCTAGCACTTTGAGAAGCTGAGGTGGGAGGATGGCTTGAGGTCAAGAGTTTGAGACTAGCCTGGTCAACATAGTGAGACTCTGTCTCTGCAAAAAGTTAAAAAAAAAAAAAAAGTATTAGCCAGGCATGGTGTCTCACGTCTGTAGTCCCAGCTACTTGGGAGGCTGAGGGGTAGGAAGGTTGCTTTAGCCTAGGAGTTTGAGGTTGCAGTAAGCTATGATGACTCCACTGTACTCTGGCCTGGGCAACAGAGACCTTTGAGACCTTGTCTCAAAAAAATAAATAAGACAAAAGAAATGTTTTTTTTCAGGGCTTAACCAAATCTTGCACTCTAATTTGATTATATGTCTTGTTGGTCTTTATATCTATTAATAGAATAATGCTCTCTCCCCTCTTTTTTAAATGATACTAATGAGGAGGTCAGGCTAGTTGTCCCTCCTCTTAGATTTGTCTGTTTACTTGTCGTGTCAATTAACTTTTTATTCTATATCTGGGGCCAGGAAACTTTTTCTGGAAAAGGCTAGATAGTAAATATTTATACTTTGTAGGCCCTTTTAAAATTATTTTGTAACTATTCCAATTATTAAAATGAGTCGACTTTAATAAATGCTTATTGAACACAGATCTGAATGTGAATAATGGATAAAGCATCATAACAGATGTAGAACTATAAAGGAAGAGATTGATGAATTAAAAACTTTTGTAACTTGAACAAAGTAAAATAAATAGACAAATTGTGGAAAAAGAAATTGTAACACATGACAAAGGATTGATTTTCTTAATGTAAATGTGCATTCTTACATAGCATTGTTAGGAATGTAATGTAGCCTAGCCTTCTCAGAGGGAAACTTGTTATAACTACCAAAATAATGAATTGCACATGTCTTTTTACTCTTACAGTTTTGCTTCTAGAAATTTGTTCTAAGGATCAAGTTGATTTTATAAGAATGTTTTGTAGTGTTTATAAACAACAATATTTGTCCAAATCTAAATATCCATCATTACGAGTATGGTAACTAAATTGTGATTTACCTGAACCATGGAATACTATGTAGCTGTAAAAAATAATAAGGTGTATCTTTATACTGTGTTAGAAATGATGCGAAAATAGCTTAATTTATGAAAGCATGACTGACTTTATGAAAGGTTTAATTTATGAAGCACAATCAACTTTCCTGATTAAAAACTTGATAGATGAATTATTTTTTAAAAACCTTTTTAAATTTTTCAAAAATCTGACAATATAAGAATAAATTATCAAGCCAACTTTCAAGGCTGGAACCCAGAGAGATAAGCAGAGCACTGATGCTACTTTTGCTCTAAGAGCATGTGTATTGAACCTAAAATGGTAGTGCCCAGGTACCTGGCAGAAGAAAAGTTAAAATCCTCTCTTGAAATGCATTTATCCTAGACTTCATATAAATCTCACAAGTATTTTTTTTTTTTTTTGAGACAGAGTTTCACTGTTTTGCCCGGGCTAGAGTGCCGTGGCATCAGCCTAGCTCACAGCAACCTCAAACTCCTGGGCTCAAGCAATCCTTCTGCCTCAGCCTCCCGAGTAGCTGGGACTACAGGCATGCGCCACCATGCCCGGCTAATTTTTTCTATGTATTTTTAGTTGTCCGATTAATTTCTTTCTGATTTTTAGTAGAGATGGGGTCTCGCTCTTGCTCAGGCTGGTTTCGAACTCCTGAGCTCAAACAATCCGCCCGCCTCGGCCTCCCAGAGAGCTAGGATTGCAGGCGTGAGCCACCGCGCCTGGCCCACAAGTAATTTTTGAAAGAAGATGAGCTGCCCACAGAATAACTAAGTACATAAAGAAACAAGGCATCATGAGTAATTAATTATTCACAGAAAATACCCAAATAGCATATATGTCAACTAAAAACACATCAAAATAAAAAAAATCAACAGATGACTTTACCAGTTAACCCACAGATGGAAGAGATGCAGAGCAAATTAGTGAACCAGAATATATTATTAAGTAGAAAAATTATCCAGAATGTAGCACAGAGATAAGGAAAATCTGAAAAGTTTTAAACAACATAAAGGGAAGGCAGGGATGAATGGAGGTAGGGATAAGAGATAGTTGAGGGTCCATTTCGTTTTAGGTATCCACATGTTCACAGTAACTTTCAATGTGAATAATAAAGTTCTAAGTGCTGAAAGGCCTTTTATAGATGAACAAGTCTACCTTCCCCCCATTTTACACATGAGGAAACAAATGGAGAGCCAGAAAGGTTAAGTGACTTGCAGAGCTAGAACTAGAGTCTATTTCACTGTTCTTTCTCCCGTGAAATTTGTTTTCCAATCAATTGTTGGAGGGGAAATGGGGAGACCAGGACCCTGGAGAAACTTCCGCACATGTACACAAACGTTCAGAGCGGCATTGTTTGTAATACTCCACAACTGGGCATAACACAAATGCCCATCAGTGGGAGAACAGAGAAGTAAATTGTGGCAGTTATACAATGTAATACTGTAATGCAATGGAAAGAACAAACTGCAGCTACTAGTGACAACACGGGCAACTCTAAAACCCAATATATACAGAATGATTCCATTTACAACAGGTTCAGAAACAAAACAAAAAACTAAGAATATTCCTTAGGAATTCATACAAAGGTGATAAAATTATGAAGACAAACAAGGAAGTTATCTTAAAAGGCCAGGGTAATATTGCCTCCAGTGGAAAAAAGGGAGATTTGTGATTGTGTAGGGCCCCTAGGCAGCTCCTGTAGTGGTACTTTTTGGCGTGGGTGGAGTTAAATAGGTGTTGACTTCAATACCAGTCTGTGCTCTTCTGCATATAAGATAGAGATCAAAATAAAGAACAAAACAGCAAGATTCAGTGTCATGCAGTGCAGTATGCTCCTGTATTTGGTTTTGGGTGGGGTTTTGTGTGGAAGAGAAAGAAAGCTTTCTTAACATGTAAGTGGAAAAGCTTTGGAAAGATAAACAATCTATGGGCTGTGCAAATAGAATTGAGTGTCTAGGAAGAGAGGCGAGGTATACTTTTATGTTGTTTAAATTTCTTATATGCTTATTTTCATAGTTTTATAACAAAACTTCACAACCTAGATTATTTAACTAGTCTGTTGATTCACTGTTTGGTCCTGGAGTTGGGAGGCGGGTGTCAAGGAGAGGAGGGAAGAGAGAACACTGATAATTTTTGAGGATGCATTTTCAATCTGCCCACATGGTCCTTTCTTCCCTGCCTTACCCCTTTAGCAGCTCAGATGTGGCTACTTACCTCCGATGAGTACATCTCCCTCCCCCCAAGTTACAAATTACTGAGCAAATAAGTGATGGAGTATGAATAATGTGGAGCCTGCAGAACTAGGTCAACATAAGTTTTAAAATATTAGGTAGACACTTTACATACTTTGCGCAACGAGGTAAAATACAGAAATAATTCAGTCTTCACTCTCCAACTTCTATTCATTGATAAAAAAGAAAAAGAATTTACCTACCTTGAAATTTAGTTTAAAAAAAGGAATCCAAAAATCAAATGCATTTTGTTTTTAAATCTAGAAAAACATGTTTTATTAATATTAAAAGCCAGATTAATACTTAAACTGCCTCAGATAGCCATCTAAAATGAAACGACTTCTATCATTTCAATAACACAACTCTTTAAATTTTCAGTAGCAAAATATATTCTGTGAATGTTTCATCCTTAGTGCTGAAATCCATTTATCTGAT